GCTCAATTTTACCACCTTGAAAGACGCAGCGCCCTTTCTTCATCTCATTGAGAGCCTGGGTATCTGCAATGGTTTTGATTCTCGTTTATGTCCTTTAATATCAACTTCTAAGACGGCTGAAAGGTCTGGGAGAACATGGAGAAGCAAGCGATGTGCAGTGCTGTCGGCGAAAGCCTTATGCGTTCAGTGCAGGAAAGCAAAAAAGAACTTGCAGTGCAGGCAGAAACGACGTTCAAGAAAGAGCAAGTACGTGCCTTTGCCATCTGCGCTGTTGAGAAATTTAAGAAAGAAGACTATAAGAGCAACAGTGCTGCGGGAGAAATACAAGAGGGACCTGCTAAGCTTGAAAAAAAAGTTGTCATCAGATCCAAGCAATGCACTGTTGAGCGAGGTTTTAGCTGAACTTCCACCACTGCAGCAACTTGCATTTCGGACAGCACTGCAGTCGATGAAAGCGAAATCTTCAAGAGGTGTGCGGTATGACTGTGGGTGGCTGCTGAGTTGCCTTCTCTTGAAGATTTCAAGCCCACGTGTGTACCGCTTGATGTCAAGAATGAAAATCCTCCCTCTTCCAACTTCGACTAGGCTCCGACAAATAATAAGAGGAATGCCTTGTGAGTTTGGCTTTAATAAGCTCTCCCTTTCCAGCATAGGGGCTTTCATGAAGACTATGAAAGGAGTCCAGTGTTACGGCACACTAGTAATAGATGAAATGAAGGTACGCCAAGCCGTAGCTTTCAACCGTCAAACATACAAGATTGATGGGTTCGTAAATTACGGAGACGGTGAAGTTTCAGCAGCTACTGCTGATCATGCATTGGTTGCAATGTTTGTGCCTCTATTCCACTCATGGGTTCAACCGATTGCAAGTTTTGCAACAAAAAACGCAGCCCCCGGACACGTGCTCGCCAAAATAGTTCTTGATGCAATCGTGCAGCTACGCAAACACAACGCCATAGTCGTCGCAGTAATCAGTGATGGCGCCAGCACGAACAAAGCAATGTGGTCCAACTTTGGCATATCAGGAAAGCTTCACACAGCAAACCACAAAGTTCAGCACCCATGCGAGCCAAATCAAAGCCTCTACTTCCTTTGCGATGTACCCCACATTGTCAAATGCATTAGAAACCATCTTCTTCGACACAAATATGGCATGGTAAGTACCACGTACAGTACAATATCGCAATAAATAGTGTCGCGGTGCCAATCAAAATACATTTTCTTCGCAGCACTACATACGACTGACGGACTTTTTTTTTCCCTCTCTTCTTCTTGCTCATAGATTGGTGAACATCGCATAAACTATGACCACTACCGAGTTTTGCAAGAAGTAGACGGCAAAGAGCAACTCCGCATTGTTCCGAAGCTTACCGCTGAACACGTCTGCCCTGACAACATGAGAAAAATGAGTGTGAAGCTCGCAGTACAGGTAAGATTACGAAAAGCTGCTTTTGAAAGAACTTATAGCTTACCTGATTATTTAGGCAAATTCTTCACATGTGAAACACAAACTTAACTGGTACTGTGAAGTGTTCTCCTTAAGTCTTTTTGCGATTAATAAAATGCCCCTATACGTTTTCTGTCCCCTAGCTGCTCAGCCGAAGTACGGCTATCGGCCTTGATGTGTACCGGAGACTCAAGCAAGATGGCCTGGAAGACTGCGAGGGGACAGCCGCGTTTACCCGCATCATAAATGACCTTTTTGATGCCCTGAACATCAAGCTTCCTCGTTTTGGGATAAGGAGCACATCCAAGGAAATTAAGGCAAGGGCGATAAAATGTGCTACTTTTGAAGAACATTCGCAATAGGTAATGTTAATCAAGAACTGAGGCACTGGGCATATAAATAAAATACAAAACGCCGACAAACATTTACACCAACAAAAGCCTAGTTTAAGTAGACATTTATTTTGTAATTGAAGGAAGGTATTATTGAAAGAAAGACGACGAATAAATGTCTTGGAACTTAGAACTTCTCCTTCCAGATAACTGAAATAAACGTCGATGAGAAGGCGACACGCCGCAAGCGTGATTTCAAGTATTACCAGCTTCCATTTTCATTCAGTGGCACACATGTTTCATTAAAAAATCAGGTTAAAAATAACTTTATGCCTTTCTTCAAAGGTCCCTTTTTTTATAGGCGTCGACGTTTGCATGTAAGAGCTAGCTTGCACAAAAAAGTAATGTCTAACATAAACTTTTCCCTTTTCTAGATCATCCAAGATTTCATGATTATCTTGGACTTGACAGAGAGAAACCACGTTGAGAAAGGAACAGCCATGTTCGCATCTCAAGTAACAATGGAGTCTCTAAGGGTGACTTTGTCATCTATCTTGGAACTAACAAATGACCTCCTTGCTAAAGGTGCACGCTACGTGCTCACAGGCAAGCTTAATCAAGACCCCTTGGAGGTGAGATTAGCATAATTCCATAAAACTGCGCACTTACTTCATTGCATGGAAAATAAACAAAACGGTTATGAGGAAGCATAGCGTGGTTTTAAACAGTCGTCATATCTCTATGTGAGATGTGCAATTCCCGCCTGAGACTTGCACTCTATAAATCCTCTTTATGCATTCCATACGCCATGCGTACTTTGACTTCTGAAAGAGATACATACGGTGAACTGACGTACGGCTTTATTACTACCATTACAGAGGTTCTTCGGAATCACCAGGAGCTTTGGAGGTGACGAAGACCATCCGACGATCCTGAGCTTTTCCCATATCTACAGGTTGCTGAGCCTGTACACACCTGTCAAGGCTTCGATTGCAGGCAATGTCCAAGAGGAGCCAACCTTAATACTAGCCACAGTGCAAGAGACGATGAAGCAAGGGAAGAAGCAGCAGCTGGCAACGTATGAAAAGTTGCGTGAGACAATCAGCGCAAAGATTTCCGAGGTTTGCTTGCCTGGAATAAGTTCAGCATCCCACTCGGGACCGACACCGCTTCCGGACCACGGATATGCTTTGCCAGCAGTACAGGAGTGCGTCGTATATTACCTCTGCGGCTACATTGTACATTCTTTTCTGAAGCACGTCAACTGCGCTGCTTGCATAAGCAGCATCCAGTCAACAAACACTAAATTCCCCGCTTCACTACTGACATTGGCAAGAGAATTCAGGAACGGAAGCCTCAAGCATCCCTCTACAGAACTTTACACAATGTTGAAACGCGTCGAAGAAAAACTGTCTCTCGTGCTAGGAGAAAACCATCTGTGCGCCGACATGTTTTGGGATGCGCTGGATGTCATCAAAGACTGCGATGTTCCAAGCGTTGGTTGTTCAGTTCATAAGGACATCCTGACATCGGAGATTGTACACTCATACGTTGTTTTGAGAATGCACTTTTTTACGAGAGATGTTTGTAAGAAGCTGAGTGCTTCTGGCAGGGTGTCTTCTACAAAAAAGAAAGCCAAACTTCTCTAGACTACGCACCAATAAACTACGCAGTGATTTAACATAGAAATGTTGCCAAGTAAAAAAAAAAACAGGAACTTGAACAAATGTGTTTGGTGGCTTTTCTTACAGTTATTGCACAGCAACATGCACAGATCTCAGTGAATTAAGGGCTGTAATGAGGACACGGGAACATCGGAACAGCATTAAATAACCTAGCAGGAGTCCCACGTAGAACACAGCCAGCTTACCGGCGACGCATGTCATTGGTTCGAAATTTGGGTATTCGAGTGTCAAACTAAAATGACGCTGTTCTTTTTAATTCGATTGCATTCCTCCCTTCATGAAGAGGTGACGAAGAGATGAAGGAGCTTCTCCAAGCTCCTTAATTCATATCCACTCGATTGGCATTCCGTGTTCCTAGTCATGCACATTCGATACATTTAATTGTCAATCGGAAAAACAATCTTTACACTTAATAAAACTTCTAGGCGCGTAAAACTTTTTTTTCGCCTTTTGATTTTTTTTTTTTTTTTTTTTTTTTTTTTTTTTTTTTTTAAGCAAGTGATCTTATCTTCTTTCTAACATATATATGTGTGTCGTAGTAGTAATAAATCAGTTGAAAGTCTGCGCTCGTCCTCGTCTCTTGTGTTAGTTGTCTGAAGTTTTACGCGCCTAGAAGTTTTATATGGATTACCAACTAGCCCAATCCCACACTTTACTTAAGTACACTTAATAAAATAGTTGAATTTGCACAATTTAAAAACTGTATCTACTTACAAACGGTATGCATTTAAAAAATACAAGCCGACTGTTACGAACCATTCTGTTAAAATTTGTTTGTAACTACGTGTTTCTTCTGCAAAAGATTGCTGTGCTGGGAACCAAAAAAAAAAAAGTGAGTTGTCTCGTAAGATATACATCATCGTATTATTCTCCCTGACAAGCCACACAGATAACGCACCGCAGCGTAAATGCAGCGGCATTGTATACAATAAAAACATGCGCAAGTTTTCAGAACTCGCGACTGTTTCATTTAGAACGCTTACTGTCGCTTTCAAATAAGAGCATGCTTTTATAGAAAACGCTCAATGTAAGGACTGCACGAGCAATGCGATCTCAAAAAAATTTTCAGGAAATTTCAGTTTATGCTCTCGGAGGCACCTATTCATTAGGCAAGCACAAGCTCATCACATCGAAACACCTGCGGAATGCAGTCAGCACCATCAGCACGTGGCAAAAAGAACCACTCAGACTTCGTTCAGAGCTCCAAGCTGTGTCCACCTTCATCTATGCAGTGGTTGTAGCAGGAAGCTCTCAATATGCATCCGCTAACAAGATTCCTTGAGATATGAAGTGCTCCAAAAACGCTGCGCCGTCCTTCGGAGACGGGGCGCGGAACAGACGACGAGCAGACGACGCACGAAGCTCGTCACATGACCAGGTCGCAAAGCGATCGCAGCGCCCCCGCGTTTTGGGAGACTGTGAGCGGCCACGCCGCTTCCGTGGCGAGCCCATGCAGTTTCCCAACTGGCTCCATCCAGTAACGTTGTCATTGGTCCATGCTTGCCGGCTTGCCTTATGTGCTTTGCATCGTGTTGGATAAGTCTATTGGTCGCTAATTGCTGCGCTCGAGCTCGAGGTCCATGTGCAAGTCATGTCACAGGAAAAAAAAGATTACTATATTTGCGTGGTAGGATTTTTATAACCCAGCGGGCCAGTCTCGTGCCCCGCTTGCCGTAACGAACGCGCTGCTTCTGTTTTACCGCTGGAGATCGCGAATCTTGCACCTGGCGGTGAACTGGCAGTTGTAAATATGGCGGCCGCGTTTGAAGGGGTGCGATTATCCAGCCTCTCTGATGCCGGCGAAATAACTCAGAAGTTCCCCGTCCCCTTGCTTCTGACAGTGGCCGACGAATCGGATAACCTCATCGTGAAGTTCAAGAAGCGTGAGTAGACATCGTCCGGCAATCCCACGCACCGCTTGCCGTCTCCGCAAATCTAGCTTCTTTGTCTCGGAGCGCGCATTGTTTACGGTGGCGCATTCATGTCGCACGTTCTGTATAATCTATTTAGGCCTAAGCCTTGATTACCGGTTTGTTCCGTGGTTTCACGGCTCTATGGCAGTCCGAGAAGCTCGTTACGGTTGCCACGCACTGGCGCCGCAGCTTGCGTTCGAAAGTGCGCGACGTGTAGGTCCGCGTGGTACGCTGTGATGCGGCCGGCGCGTGTTTCACTTAGGCAATGCCTGTCGCATGCTATCAAATAATCGCCGCGGACGGGCATCTGAATTCCTGCGTCATCTCTGCTCATCGGCTGCGCTTACGTTTTGATGCGTTAGGCGTCAACTTACGTTTTAGCTCTCGTGGAACGGCGAAATGCCAGGTATTCGAAGGCGAGATTAAAAAAAAAGCGCGTTTGGAGGGTTTTCGTATGTGAATGGGGTGCTGTCCAGGGTGCTCTGGCAAATGCGAATTTGGTTGTTTGTTGTGTTGTCGGTAATGGTAAACCGGCCATGACACTGCCTGCTACAGGTTCTTGACGAGTGACACGGACTAGCTTGCATCATCGCATAAAGTAGAACGAGTACTGCATTAAACGCTGTCATCCGCTGATGCATGGTCTGTTCAAAGCTTTCGTGATCCTTCACGGTGGTCTAGTGATCATGGTGCTCTACTGATGCTGACCCGCAGGTCGCGGGATCGAATGCCGGCGGCCGCAGTTTCGGTAGAGGCGAAAAATGCTCGAGGCCCGTGCGTAGATTTAGATGAACGTTGAAGAACCCCGGGTGGTCGAAATTTCCGGAGCCCTCCACTACAGTGTGTCTCATAATCATATCGTGGTTTCGGGACGTTGAACCTCAACAACTAATGTGCCGTCTCCTATCTGCCGTGGAGGCCACGAATGCGCAATTGATTATGTTGACATCTCGGGAAGCGCATGCCATTTTCGAAGTATTGCGTGGTGAGCCCCCGTATGTAATTTAATGTCGCTGGTGTGGAGCACGATTCAAAAAGCAAATGCTTATGAACTTAGCCTTTCGAATCTGACGACTGCAGGTAATGAAACGTTCTGACATTTGCAGTTGCGGGTAGCGAACTGTATCCTAGTCTGAAAGCATTGCAAGCCAGCAGCAACCATATGTGCTTGTGTAATTTATTTATTCACAGATACTGTCGGCCCTTATGCAGTTTCATTACAAAAGTGGCAAAGAAAAATGTAGCAATTATTTAGAACACAAAGCATAATTATTTTGTGTTATCGAGAGTAACAAATAAAAGGACAGTATGCATTGCGTCGAGAGGCTTTACCAAGCATAAACACACCAAACGACATACAGGCAACCGAAGCAGTGTTAGTGACAAATCGAAGTTTGAGCTATGTGTTTTTAGAAACAAAAATTCGTAGATGAACTGCCTCTTCTCACAATGAATTCTGTTTGCCGATAGCTTTTCGAATGAAGCTCTACTCAAAACAATCACTTTAAAAGAACACGAGAAAACAATGTTGATGTCTCAGAAGCGCAAGCAAATAATATCATAATACTCAGCATGCCTTATGTGACCATGGTTAATAATTAGGTAAAGATATTTGAGTCTTCTATTCAATCCTTATGATGACAATAATAATAATTGTCAAGGTGATAGTCGATGAACACACAACTTTCGGTGTAGAGACCAAATTTACAACCTTTGGATAACACTTAAATTTTTAACAGCATAAATGCTTTGATAAGATTGATGGCAGTTTTGAAGATATAGTGGAGTATGTTGGAAGACTCCGTTGTTTGGACACGTCAAGTAAACCTTGATGTACTATGCCATCCCGCGGCAATTCTGTAGCAAACATGTGCCTTCCTCCGTTTAGTATAAACTGTTTGCATTCAGACTACACAGATAAAAGTTTTTCGCCACGACAAAAAAAAAAAGTGCTGTCTGCGTACTGAAATGATTTTAATAAGCACATTATTTAAGGTGTCCCCTGAGTTTGTCATTCTATGGGTAAGTTGGAACCAGTGCAACTTTCCCATTACTTTACAAAGACGCGCTCTCTCTTTATCAAACCCATGTAGGCTCTTGTGCACTCATGAAGAATTTCATGAGTGAAGTATTCATGGTGGCCAGCCCAAATGGGACATAGACAAGACAAAAAAAAGGAAAAATAAGAAAGATTGTTCAAGAACTAAAGAGTGTTTGAATAGGGGCCCCAAAGAAGTTGCATCAAGGCCACCGCGCTTGAACTCAAACCGCGTTCGGGTTTTGGGTTGGGGATGTTATTTCTTGAATTTAGAGGGAGCCCCAAAGCCTGCCCCGAAATCTTTGCGTTGGACAAACCAAGGTTTAGGCCAGTATTCAAAACGCCGCAGACCCTATTAAAAAAATTGGGGGACCATTGAGCTTCACGTTTAAGAGTTCAATGCGACAGCAAAATCCGGCCCCTAGTGCGCCCTTAAACCGCCAAGTGCATACTTATTAATATGTCGTGTTACATATGCACGCAAACACACGCACACAGTAAATCGTACCAGCGCGCACGAATGGTACATACAGGTTTTTATCTAAAGCAAGAGTCGCATGGCCTCCAAGGTACAGGCCGCGCGCTCGCCATCTCAAAGGCCACAAAGAGAGTCACAATGCCTCACAGATAGCAGCACATTATCTAGCCTTTGCTGTTTGCTTGATCGTCGTCTCTGGAAAGGCGTGATATGTTTTTCACTAGATGGACATAGTTGTCCATATTTAGAGCTGTTTGAAAGTTCCTGTGTGTTTTTAGCGGCGATGGCTGCACTCTCCCGGCCTTTTTCGATGTAGTTTGAGGCTTCCCAAATGTGCCTACAAATCGTTGAATGGGCTCATTTTCATCATGACACCTTTCGAACGAAATGCATTAAAGGGCCCTGAAATACTTTTTCAAGTAACCATAGAATGAATTCACTAGAAGAGCTTTTTGCCTAACGGATTCAACGCCGCAAAAATGTTAAGAATCCGTCTAGTTACGAAGGTTTGACGCACGCTGGAAGCTAAGTGGAGAGGGGTGGCAGGGGCAAAAAAACTTCAGCGCCTCGTGACCTTGAGCACTTTTTTTTTCTTCGAATGCGCAGCTTTTCCAGTGTGATCGCGCGCACACGCGTGGACAAGTAGCGGCTTATCGCGGCAATCTCGGTAACTTGATTTGTCTGTCACAGACGATTTTTCCCTCACAACCGACGGGCCCAACGGCGGGATTTCTGTGACACGAGCTTTCTAATGCTATCGCGTTGAAAATTCTTGGCTCCTGCTTGACCCAAAGCGTGCATAGGCAAAGGGCTTTGGGTTCCCAAACTATTGGGTTCCCTATTTGAAAGCTCCCTACTGTCTAACAACTGTATTTTTATTAGGCAAAACCTTGAAGATTTATAAGGGTTGTCTTATTATGGGCGAAGCACGTTAGGGTCTAGGCTTGTCCATTGTCTTGCGAAGACAACGAAGAAAAATCACATGCACTATACCTGATGACGATGAAGGAAAAACGCGTTAACACATGCAAGGTATACCTGATGTTGGCCATGGAACATTCTATTTCTGCCGTAGGCGAAAAACAAATGCAAGGCGCAGGGAGCGGGGGAACAATGACAAAAACTTGCAGTTAAGGGCATGGGAACCCGTAAAATGTATGTGTGAGGTGTAGGCAATGAGTTTCCGAAATGGCTTTGGTTACGATTGGATGTTTGGACAATGTGAAAGCTCACTTGGCATTGTTCGAAAGGAATGATAAGTGGGGCGAAACTAAATGCAAATGATGTGGACTCCTTGTGGATCCCCATTGAACCTTGTCTGGCCACCATAATAGTAGATCATAAGACACATGCTGCATCCAGGCAGCAATTTCTATTGGTTCAAGCAAATGCAGTAACCAAGCACAAATCGCAACGAGGGATGTTCTCGTCCATTGTTTATGAGTATTGCCGTGTTGATTGGTGGGTCATGCGAGAGGCCTTTGCCCAGCAGTGGGCGTAGTCAGGTTGGTGATATTCATTATATAAATCGCCTGAAAAAATTTGTGTACTTAGCTCTCAATCTTTGCGTTAATGTACGCGACCTCTACATTGCCAATGCTGAGGAGATTCATTGTTTCTACCACAAAGATAGTAACATGGACAAAGACATGGTGGACAAGTTTAAAGGTTTTGAGTAACCCAGAGCTTCTCAAGAAGATCCAGCGACAGAGTTTACCCTGAGCTTGCTCCCTTGATGTCCATGCAGGCGACATCGAGTGAGAGCCCATACTAACAAACGCATGAAGATTGATTCTTTGCTGTCTGCACAAAAGGAGCAGAGCGAGTAGCGTTGTCATGTATGTGAAATTGCCAGAGCTGCATCTCGACCTACCAAAAATGAGCCAATCTGATCACGGCGAACACGTTGCAATAAATCTACCTGGCAGAACCGTTACCACGGTGTACGTGGCCACAAACCTTCTTGAGGCAACTTAGAAAAGTACATCAATCTAGCCATATGCAATTATGAAACAAAGTACAAGAACAACCTCTTAGTACTTCTCGGAGACTTCACTGTTGACATCACGGACAATGACTGGGTTCTACAGTATATGACGTGTTAATATGCTTTATGATACATTTTGTATGGCTGGAAACAACCACCAGGAGAACGTGCATTTTGGAAGCCGCACGCAACAGTTGCCTACGAAGGCTCCCGAAGAGCTCATCAGCATTTGGAACTGTAGCGGAAGCAGGATGTCTCCCACTGGATGTCATCTCTATCCAAGAAACCATGCGTACACATCTTCGACATGTATTACAAGGTAAAAAGCATTTCCTGTATAGAGTTCACCTAACGCACAGCAATTCTTCGTTCGGCCAAGCTGTGCGAATGCTTCAACTCTCTCCTGTTAATCAGCCACAAAAATTAATGACTGCAACATTTCCTCCCTGGACACTTTCGCCTCTAAC